TCCATGCAGTGATGCTGGCCTCTTTGAAAAAGGGGGTGATTCCGCCAGGTTTGAAGCAAGCAATGGTGCACCCCCTCCTCAACAGGCCTTCATTGGACTCAACCATCCTGGATAATTTTGGTCCAGTCTCCAAGCTTCCCTTTTTAGGGAAGTTGGGTTGCAGTTACAGGGGATTCTGGAGGAAAAGAATTATCTGGACCCTTTTTGGTCAGGTTTCAGGTGTGGACACAGTACAGAGATAGCACTGATTGCACGTTGATGATCATGACAGGATGGGTGTGCTGCTTCCATCCTGGCCTTCCTTGATCTTTCAGTTGCTTTCAATATCATCAACCATGATATCCTTCTGGACTAGCTATGGGGAGAGGGGGCAAGATGTTACAGTGATTCTCCTCATTTCTCCGTAGCTGTTTTTTAGTTGGTGTTGGTTGGAGGGGAGAAGTAAAGCCTGAATTGCCTGATTTACAGGGTGCTTCATGGTTCAGTGCTATCTCTCCTCCCGCTTAACATCTGCATGAAGCCACTGGAGAAGATCATTCATCAGTTTGGGGTCAGGTATCATCAGTATGCTTAAGATACTGAGTTGTACATCTCAATCTCTAGCTGACTAAGAAATGCTCTGAAGGTCTTGTCCAATGAAATGGAGGCTATGATCTGGATGGGAAAGAATAGGTTCAGACTCAAGCCTAGCAGGACTCAGTGATTATGGTGCTTGGTCCTCCCAGTGCTGGGAACTTCCATCTTTGTTTCTAAACAGGGTTGCACTGCCCCATTTGGGACTGATGCACAATCTGGGGGTCTTCCTAGACTTTCAGCTCCTGTTTGAGGAATAGGTGGCAGCTGTGGCCAGGAAGGCCATTGCACAGGTGCAGCTTGTGCACCAGTTGCACCCATTCTTGAATTGAGAGGTCCTCCTCACTGTCATTCATGCCTTGGTCACCTCACGAGTGGACTATTACAATGTGCTCTACATAGAACTGCCCTTGAAGACCTCTTGGAAGCTATATCTGGTCTAGAATGCTGCTGCACAAGCAGTGATGGGCAGGTCTTGCTCTACCCATATAGACACTGCTGTCTGAGTTACATGGATTATCAGTTGGTTTCTGAATGCAGTTCAGTGCTATATATAACCTATAAAGCCCTACATTTGAGAGACCAGTTATCTCCTGGATCGTCCACCTGTAATGTGCATTCCAACACATTTGGCTTGGCTTACTTAAGGTCCAGTCTATTAAACAATATCATCTAGTGGGACCCAGGAGGCAGCCTTCTGTGTCACTGCACCTGCCATTTGGAATAGCATCCTGATGGAGATCCATTTGGCTCCAATCTTGCTTGCCTTCAGGCACTCCTTAAAAAGCTGACTCTTCTCACAGGCTTTGGGTTAAGAATGATGGGCGAATATTGAGGAATACAGAGGTGGACTTGAAGAGGGAATGCAAGAGCAGTTACATAAACACAAGCTTAACCCTAAAAGGGAAGAGGTGGTAAGAAAGAAACTCAGGATTGTCTCCCCTTGATTCTGTTGGGTATAAGAATAGTGAGAGAGAAACCGTCCGTCTTTCAAGATTCTGTTATTAATCACTGCAATGATGAAGAGAGTTCCAGTAGTCATTGTGGAGTCTGTTTCCTGACTTGGTCTACCTTGAAGGTCCCTTTAAGCTGGAAGAGGAGGTGAAAAGATGGTTTGTTCCCTTGAACAGTTGTTATATAGATGTTTCTGAGATTTTTTTTTTTTTAAATGGAATTGCTGTTCTTTTAACTTTGTGAAGCAGCCCAGAGTTAGGCAGCCTAGAAACTTAATAAATAAATACATGAATAAACAAGCAAACAGCTGGGCATAATCCAGCCCTGTTTCATTCAGGACCAATAGTGAATTCTGTATTTAATTGTCCAATAATTGGCCAACAGAGTGAAGCTGAAACAAGTCAAGGCAGATTATTCCAGAGGATTAATCCAGAACTGGATTCATTAATATGTACCATGCCTATAGTGTTATAATTTCATATGTTGGGGACTGATTTGATTGATTATGTGCCATCAAGTTGTTGTTGACTCTTAGCAACCAGATAAATAGATTTTCTCCATCAGTTGGGGACTGGATGCTATAATATTGGTAGTATGAGGTTGCCCCTGAAAATGTTCAGAAGGTTCAGTTGATTCAGAATAATTGTAGCCCATAATGGAGTGGAAGAAATGGGATGGAATATTTGATCTGTATTGCAGAAGTTCACTAGATTTTAGCCAGGCTGGCTTTGAAAGTTGATGGTATTCTGTATATATAGGTCTTCCCATTGAAATTTGGACTGTAAAAGTAATGCAGTAGTTAAGCATTGTGTTACTTTATCTCTGTAAAAAGGAGGGAAAGTTTCTAAAGAAGATCAGTTCAGCTAATCAGGTTTGATGGAGGGGAAGGGAGGACCAACTATTGTTTAACTTGAAAACACAAGTGCTTTACTTTTTTTATCTCTTCATAAATCCAATGTTTGGAAGCACAAAAAACATATCCATGATTTTTTATTATCATTCCAATGTCATACCAGAGTATAGTTCATGCACATTTAACAGCTGTTTCAGTCCACGATTTCGAATTTGGTTTTGCTAGTTGAAACATCATGGGTGAGCAATTTTTTTAGTAGCTCCTTGATCATTTTAAGATCAAAATAGCAGATTTCAACATGAAAGTAGTGTGATTTTTCAAAGGGTTTATGCAAAATAAGAACACACTATTTTAGTTTGTTTTAATCCTTCCTCCCTAATCTAAATAAAAATACCTTTAAATTATGGCTTTGACCCCCTCTTGTGATATTATCACATCACCAGCAGCCCCTGGAGGCTAAACATAAAAAATGGTAAGAAAGTGTGCCCCTCCTCCATTTCAACTATAATTTGTCAATTCAAATGTCACATCAATAATTATTGAATTTGCCTAACAGTTTGTAATATTGTGTGTGTATGTGTATACAGGGAATGAGTAACAAGAATATTTTGTAAAATGTAATATTGTATTTGTATGTAGACATTTCCTGTTTAATATCCTGATGACAGAACAGTAAAGACAGTTATTCCTGTTGTTGTTAATTTACTGTTACATCTGCTTCCTTGTTATGCAATTTAATTTTCAACCCACCAGGGGGCTAATGATTCTCACCTATGCAGATTTCAAACAAGGCAGTTATTTTCCATGTGAATATTGTTTTTATCCCTATTCAGAGTGACTCTTTTTTACACTAATTTGGCATCAGCAAAGCAGCATACCATAACTCTCTTCACAGGTCAAAAATATGGAATGATTTGCTGGAAAAATTATAAATCTTAACCTTTCATTTGAAATGCACAGTGTTTCCATGAATATTTGTAATGGGAAAACAGTGGATAATGTCCTACTTACATGATTTCCCAAATATTTTTGTATCCTGTTTATTTAATTGTCCTGCCATCCCATAAAATGTATCTGGCACTATTATTGATTCAGATGGAGATAAGTACATTGTTTTCATCATGGCCAGATTCAAATGATCTTTTCTGGATTTATAAAGCCAGGAACGATAGGCTTCTGAAGTGCTGCTTTATGTTTCAGCAGATTATTTCTGGTTTGCTTTGAACCATAATTTGCTATTACATAAAAATTGGGAGCTTGTTTAGTATTGGTTAAATATTTAAAATGACAAGGCAGGGTTTCATTATATTCAGATGCAACCCAGGAATGAATATTAAAACGATAATGATTGGAAGGGACTTCAGAGATCATGTAGTTCAGTCCCAGCAATTTCCACACATTCTTTCCAATCCTGCTCATTGGAAAAGAGGGGAGGAAATCTGTTCCATCTTCTGTGTGGCTGCCATTCACACAGAAGGCTGTTATTTCATCTCCCCTTCATCTCCTCCAAAATAAACATGGCCTACTATTCCTCCTATAGCAGGATTTCCAGAACTCACTCCAGTATATCGGTACCTTCCTTAAAATGTCTTGGGCACAGGTCTCTTGCTACAATATAATAAAGTAGAAGTAGAGCTTCATATAGTTATTTTCAAATTGAAAACTCTAAACAGCGGTCTTTATGTATACAGTCACAGTTAAAATAGGCTTGCATCTTAAAGGTCTATATTGGGTACAGGTAAGTAAGGCAAGGTTGAAGTCTAGTCTTGTTTTGGTGGGGATGATCTAACTGCATTTTTCTTCTTTTTTGCCTCATTTTTATAGCATTGCATTAGGAGGCAGCAGACAGAAAGCCATGTGTGTTGGTGACAAAATGTCTTGAGGAAGTGATAATTTATTGGAAGAGATGTTTATTGCCTTGCATGTACAAGAATTTATTCATTTTAAGCCACAACTAAAATACTCCAGCTTCTTGCAGCTTCATTGAAAATATAAGTATCAGCTGCTTGGGGGAAAAAAAAAATTCTTGAAATGACTCTGTCTATAGGTGGCATTGAAAGCCTTTGCAATTGACAAATTTTAATGTAGCCGTGTAAATATTATATAAAGGTTCCAGGTTGTAATTGTAAATGTTAATTGGATTAGTCAGCAAGTGGCTTGTTTGAGCTCTAAGTACTTGGGACTTTTATAGGCTGTTAACTAAACTATTAGTCAGCTCACTTTTAGCAGTTTGATCAGTGCAAAAGACTACATGCTTAAGCAGCGCTGCTCAGAACGCTTAATAAGCCAGAGACTCCTGGAGATGGGAAAGCAGCCCTACTCATGTTTAAGCTGCATTAGTAAGGCGTCTCACATTAGTCACTGGCTGTGAATGTTAATCACTTTCAAGCAATAATTCACAGCATTGTTGTAGAGCTGTGGTGCTCATAAAATGAACTCAGTAACCCACCACTACCCAGGGGATATGTCTCTTTCATTGCAATTGAATACCCAGCCTGGCTGCATAATAGTTAGGATTATGAAATAGTGCATTTCAAAAAAGGGTGAGCAGCTGGATAATAAAATAACAAGCTCCAAAGCAGGTTTGTTAATTATCTCTCTGTCTGCCTCTTGTTGACAGAAGGAGTATGCGAGATATGGCTGACCAGCGAAGATACAGGGGCTTATGGCAGAGACATTGGCACAGATCTCCCGACTCTCTTGTGGAAGCTGGTTGAAGTGATCCCTGAGGGAGCAATGCTGAGGCTCGGCATGACAAATCCTCCGTATATTTTAGAGCATCTGGAGGTACGTTCATAAGGAAAGCCATTGCAGCGACTAACCATCCTCCTTTGACATCATGCAGGAACTGACAGCTTGCAGCTTGTGAGCATCTCCTTTGCAACTGCATTCATAACAGGAAATGCGAGGCAAGATGGGATACGAAATTGTGCCCTTTTGACAAGCAATGTGCAAGTTCATGAAGAAACGAAACTCAAAATATCAAATGTGGCTCATTCTGGATGAAGTAGTTCATAAACAAATTGTCAAGGAATATCAAAAGTGTAGGCCATAGGGGAAATGAATAATGCACATTTGATCATCCTCCCCTGAGCTGATGCCCTGCAGACATGTGTTTGGATTACAAAACCCTAGAACTCCCATTCAGCAGAGCAGAAGGCAGAAGATTCTGCAAACTGTAGCCCCTACAATACCACGTTGATGGAAGGCTGCAATTTCATGCTTTTTTCCCCTTGTACAATGGCGGCAGAAATACTGATTTCGGATTTGTGTTCTTGAGTTTTTTCTTAAGCATTGTTTAGATGCAGGATGGTTTTATTTGCATATTTATAAATATACAAAGTATATTTATATGCTGCATGAACACAAACCAAAAGAAAAAAGGAAAGATGTAACACGTCAGTTCAATTTTTAAGTAATGCCAACTTTCCAAAGAGGAGTTATACATAATACATGCAGTTGGAAACCTGCTTCCTTGTCTTATTTATCTTGAGTGTGGCAGTGCATTTCAGAAGATTGGCTGCAAAGTTGGCTAGAGTTCAGGCCTTTGGTCTGCTGCTTCTCACAGAACTACCTTAAACCTACCTTTCATAATAAATTCACTTTTTACCACTTTTCATTAACTGTAGTATTAACATTGTATATAAATACATGTTAATGTTATGGTTTGATTTCTCCAGGGGTATGCAGTCTGCAGCTCATGGGGTATACCTGTTCCTGAAACAGTCTCTGTGATTCCTAGAAACTTCTGATAGGCTTGCTTCTTTAAAAGTAACTTCCCCTTTAAACATAGCAGAGGAAAAATCAAACTTAAAATTCCAGCCCACCCCCTTTTATAAAGTCCTGCCTCCTACAGCATTGGTGGACCCCAAAGTAGCTGCCCTCTGCCATTAACGGTTGCTTCTTGGCAACTATAGTGTAGTATTTTGTGCAGCAGGTAGTCTCCAAAGCACCGTATGTGTCAAATTTATGAATTTGTAAATATTTCACAGCATTTCTGAAATGCTCATCCATAATTATTCAATTATTATTTGCATGTGACTTAGCCTGCTTATTTTTCTTCTGTTCTCATCCAAAAAAGAATCAAGAAGGGCTGAATTCTATCCCTTTTATTATTTAAGTTTTACATCAATGGCACCATATAGACTTCGCCAAATGGGGCTTATGTCCCCTTGACTCTGGACCATAAAGCAATCTTGTTGTAGATATTGCTCCGTTTCTGTATTAAAAAGGGCTCAAAATTCACACAATTTTGTTCAACAGTTGGTTTAAGGACATTCACTGTTCCCTTGGAGAGAAAAATCAAGCAAGTAGTTCTTGCTTGGAAGAATATTAACAGATGCATTTGATTGTATGGCATTTATATGAAAACAGTACATTCCAAAGAAAAACCGAGTTCACATGTTGCCTTAAGATATTCTTTGTTCAGTAAGCTATACTTGGCTGGGTTTGTGCAACATGTTAAGCCATAGAATATGGACAGAGAAGCTTTTGTGTGAGCAGGAACCACTCTTCTTTAAAAAAACAGTTGACCTCCAGGGAACACAGCAGGCACAGCAGTGATGCATCAGAATGTGTTCCATCTTCTAAATATGTCGCTCCAGATTTTACCAGGCCAATATTCAGTTTGCCTAGCAGATTGCTGAGTAGCTAACAAATTCCGAGAATGTAGTCTAGGTACTTTGCTATCAAAGGGAAGGCGCGTGGGACACTCATACATACATCACCAATTGGCAATTCTTGAAACTGAACATTCTTTCCCTGAATCATGTAGCAGTTGACAGCCACATCTGGGAAAACACACAACTGCTTTAAGGAGTTGGCAACAGGCTTTACTGCATCTCAACTGTCTGGTGGCTGAAAATCTTCCAAGGAGACCTCAGGGTAAAGCTTAGTAGAGATTGGAGGAGTTTGTGGAAAGCTTAAATCTATAGTGCATATATAATGCACCATTTCACGTTTTTATTTGTCTTTTCAGAATACTTTAGCTTTATGAACTTAAGGAGGCGTGGCTCCCTAGCTTTCCTTTCATCAACATCAATAAGAGGCATTTGACATTTCAGGAGGAGGGAATGAAATCAGGCCTTCCTGAAGCCTAACTTTCTGTCATCTAGCCTTGTCAAAGATGCACAAACTTTTTAGATTTCAATAAGTCTTAGCCCTATTGAGCTTCAGTAAATGGGCTTTCATTCATTTCTTTCTCATTTTTAAATAACCGCTTTGTTCTTCTCAGGGTTAGGACATAAGGACATTTATTTTTCTACTAATACGTGCTTGTTAATGTATATTTAAGGAAGATACTTGCATGAAACCAAGCCTGGCTTGCTTAACCATTGTTTATTAAACAAAGCACAATACCTGGATTTGCACAACACATTTAGCCAAAACAATTTTTAAAAAATCTCAAGGTGTTAGCAAAATGTGTGAACCCAGCCTGTGTTTGAGAGTTAGTGGTGATGCTTCACTGATAGCTCAAAGTTTTCTGGAATGTTTTAGGAATTCTGTTCTTAATACAAGTTTTTATTTGATCCTAAAGGCTGCTAATAAAAATTTACAAGAATCTAATAATAGGTAGAGTTACATATTGCCTTGAAGTCATTGTGAATTATCAAAAGTGTATTTGCATAATAAACATTTTTAAAAGGCCAAGTTTAAATCATAACTGTCTTAAAAAATGGAAAATGCTACTGTATTGGTAAATTTGACTCTGCTGATTATATTACTGTTCCTTCAGAGATCATTTGACTTCTACCATAGACATTTTCTTTCTTTCTTTCTTTCTTTCTTTCTCTCTTTCTTTCTTTCTTTCTTTCTTTCTTTCTTCCTTCCTTCCTTCCTTCCTTCCTTCCTTCCTTCCTTCCTTCCTTCCTTCCTTTCTTTTGCTATGTTTGCACCTTGTTTCTGAGTGTGGAGATGGTATACAAAAGTCTGTATTTTAAAGAAGTTGTTCACACCTGCCAGTGTCTTTTTAAATGCTTAATTGCACATGATGAGATGCATAGGCCTCCATGTCACCTGTCAAGATGAGTCAAGCTCAAAATCTGCCATATGCCATCTGTGGTTTTTATCTTCGTTATTAATTCAGGATATTCCAGTGAAACCCTGACCATTGAAAAGAGTTCTGTTTGCTGTGTATTTTTTCCTTTGAAGAATGTGAAATGACAAGGGTGCTGCAAATTTACAATAGAATTTCTTTGCTCTCCCTCTCTTTGATTCATATCAGCTGAACATTTGTGATCTGTAGCTTCATTTAAGCAGATAACTTTACAGATGGCTTCCCTAGACATGCCCTGACACAGAGCCTAAAAATGGATTGTGGTACAACAGCTAATCTCTTCTTTCTTATTCTTTGTTCTTATATAAAAACTAAAGTCTTTAGTAGTACAGTGGTAAAGTTGTTTGGAAGCTATGCCATGTGTTCTCTGTAGTGTCTTTTTCATTTTCCGTACCAGTTTTTATATTCCCCTTCCAAATGCTTTGGTCCAGTTTACACAAAGTTATGTCTGAAATTTTAAAACATAGTTTAATACATTATAAGCCCTAACAAGTGAGTTTGCATGTCACACTGTGCCAAAACACATTCACTTTAAGGTGATGAAATGTCTAAATGTTATGTGAGAATCAGACCAGTATTTCAAAGATGTAGTTCCACTTATTCTTTAGATAAGAATAATTAAGTAGGTACTGTAAGTAGATGCTGAAAGTTCCATTTGCTGATATTCCTATGGTATCCATTCATTTTAGTAGGTTTCCCATGCTGTTAATGTAAGCCTATTCTTATGAAGTGAATTTGTAAGAACTTCCACTCTTTTCTTTGATTACAATGTGGAAGTGTTATAGTAAAATGGTTTATTATGGTTCAGAGCCAGATTAGTAACAGGAGAATTTTATTTGCAAATTGGAGTTTTCACTTGTTCCTCTTCACTGAGTCATTGGCACCCCCTCAAGAGCTATTTGGGAAAAGCTAAGGATCTACCACAATAGTGTGAGATGTTGCATGGTACTGCAACTAACTGAAACTCCTGGCAATTTGAAAAGCACTCTGAATATTAAGGTTTTCACTGACAAACTCCTGCAACAGTAAATAAGCAAACAAAGTGTTACATGGCCACCTGTTTTTACAGGTTCTATGCACCCTACATTCCATATTTATGCTGGCAGTCAGTATGTATAGAAACTATAGTGTCCTTGTTCATCTGTTCAGCCAGGATTGCTCAGCATCTTATGAATGGACAATGCTTCATTCCCCATCAAAACTCATTAGGACACTCCTACAATCAGTCTTTTGCTTCTCAATACAACTCTCAATGCTTAAGGTTCTGTAGCAGAAGAAAAATGGATCCCTGGTCTTTGGACATCTTCCTATTCTCATGGAATGGATTTCAGCTGTATCTGCACCAATCTCGCTTCTAGCCATAGTTCTTATGGAAAACCAACTAGATTTGGCTAACTTCTTCCTTATCACACCATAGCAGCCTCAACAGCTATAGTTTCATTCTTCTGTTGTATTTTATTTACTGGAACTAACTCAGCCTCTCGAACCATCTTGGTCTACTCTTCATCCTTCAGGAACTCTCATATTACCTAGATCTCAATATCCTCTGCCTCACAGCTTGAAGCATTCTATCCTTTTTCCCCTCATTGCAAAGTACAGGTTCTGCTAGCTTCATAGCCATTAAGCAGTAATGCCCCTTTCAGATTCATATACATTGCCAATATCTAGTCTTTTACCAGAGCTATACCAGCAGCTACTAGTGCTCTGCCCAACATTTTCATCCAATATTGTAAATTGGACTTCTACCCTCAACAAGATGCAGTCTTTGGAAGACCAGTTCTTTCTACCATCACTTATGATTCTTCTAGGTAATAAACTAGCTACTCATCCATGTGTGTGAATCACAGAAATCACAAGGAAGAAGCATTGGTTAACTGTAACTGGAGTTGTTTGAATGGTCATGTGTGAATTCACAAAATCCATCATCCTACTGTACTCTGCTTGGAGTCAGGTGTCTTCAGTGTTCCATTTAGGTTCTACTAGGTCAGCCTCAGGAACTAAAGGTTCAACCTTAGCTGCATCTAAACATGCATGATACGCAGGGGTCCTGCCCCAAATTATCTAAATTCAGGAATGTTACAAATGAGATGTACAAAGGTGTGAAACTGTAATGGTATGTGGAATGACCTTGGGAGACCGGGCGAAGAGATGCTGCCTAGGGAATGGTCAGATAAGAGGGAGCATAGCTCACAGCTGCACAGTGGGTGGAGCAAGTGGCTCAGGAGAGATCCTTCCTAAGTTATTGGGCTGTAAAGGTGATGGTGGAAGAATTGTACTTTCAGACTTGCAAGATTCTCTTAAGATAGCTTTACAATAAAGTAGAATTAGCTTATATGGCCGTGTTTCCGGTCTGGTCTACGTGGTAAGGTTCATCAGTCTTGCAAGTCTGAAAGTACAATTCTCCCGCCATCATCTTTACAGCCCGATTACTTAGGGAGGTCTCTCCTGAGCCTTTTGTTCTGCCACTGCACAGCTATGGGCTATGCTGTCTCTTATCTGACCATTCCCTAGGCAGCATCTCTTTACCCAGTCTCCCAAGGTCATTCCCACGTACCATTACAGAAACCCATGTGTGTGAATTCAAGAGGACCTCCAATTATTGGTAGGTAATCATTTCTGAAACAGCCTGCAATAATTACAAATTGTTCACCACCAACCTTTTAAATTTCCATTATTCAGGAAGATATAGTTGAAAATGTAGATTATTCAGCATTTAAAACTTGTGCTTACTGTCAAGTTCCCTGTCAGTCAGTTGTAAATGCCACCTGTCCGGTAAATTTTTAATGCTGAGAATAATGTTATCTATGGCTTAGCCACAGAAGGAGAATCTGGCATAATTTATTCTTTTTAAAACTAGAAAATACAGTTTTACAAAGAATAAAAAGTAAAATACATATCTTGCTTATTGATACTGGCTTATCTTAGGTAAAGATAGGACTATTAACACTGAGCAAATGTAGGCCTTGAATAATTAACTGTCTTCAGATTTTCTTTTAATATTTGTACAACCATTAATAACCAAATGAGATATCACTATAAAATATTTATATTCTGGTGGGTAATTAAAGGTATCAGCCACCACCTCTGCTATTGTAAATCTGTCATTTGACTTGAAAAAATAAAATCTTTTGGGCTTCCTGATAGATGATCTCACACAGTTTCAGCTTTGTAGCATTATCTGCATAATCTATAGTGACCCAGTTTGTTTCATTATCATTAGGATTTTGTTTTTGTTTGTTTAACATATAATCTGGTTATCATGTATAAATAAGAGAAAGGGAAAGGACAATACAGTACTATAATAATGCACTTGAGTAATCATAATAAAAATATGTGAGAAAATAGTGGTATCTGCTATATTATCTTCCTGTTTTAGTTTTATACATTAAAAGAATCAGCAAAAATAAAATCTGTTTCAGCAACCATTGGATTATATTCATGTTGCTTCTGCAAATATAAATTAGATTACCTTTATGAAAGACACTAAAAAGTATTTTTATAGAGTGTGATAATTATAGTTGTTAAATGTTATCAGCTTTGAGAATGGAAAAAAAATTAATTATATTACACTGTTCATGGGTGGTGTTTCACATGAGACTCAAGCCTCTACAGCTAGTTTGCATGAGAAATGCATATATACACATGCTGAGCCATGCTGTAAATGGTTTGTTGTAATAAAAGTACTCTAGATTTACTGTTTATTCAGTTCTGAACATTTATGTTTTTAAAAAGTTTGATAAAATGCTGGGTTTGGGTTTTTTATTTTTGCTTTGCTTTGCTTTTGCTTTTTAGGTGAAACAAAGAGAATCTCATCAAAACTTTAGTTTTGTAATTTCTCTGAAAGCCAGTTTGGTATAGTGGTTAACGCACTGAACTCAAAACTGGAAGGCTGTGAGTTCTAATCCTTCTTTAGACATGAGTGCTGGCTGGGTGATTTTGGGTTAGTCGCTCTCTCTCAGCCCAACCCACTTCACAGGGCTGCTGTTGTGGAGAAAGTAGGAAGCAGGAGCATTATGTACGCCATCTTGAGTTGTGCAAAATAAAGGCAAGATAGAAATCTAATCATTATCAGGCCAAACCTTAAAATGCCATGTAACTTGCATGTTTGTATGTCCAATGTAGTCATTTAATAAACAGAAATACAAAAAATTAAAGTTATTATAGGATTATATTTATATTATTTTTAAAAAATTGACCAAACTCAAATAACTCAAATTTTGCTGTAATATTCTTTAAAAAAACAAAAGCAAAGGAGATGGACTCCAAAATGCCTGGAAAGTATTTATTGATGGCCCAATAAATGTTTCAAATAAAATCTTTTGTCAAGGGACAGAATCATTTATCAAAACATTTAATATGTGTGAACTGTACATTGCCTAAGGTAGCAACTATTCTTCAGCACATTTGACTATTGTTTCTATTATCATAGAAATTAGGAAAATTGCAGCCCAATGTAACTGAAAGGCACAGGGTTAGAGAAGACTGTTTCAGCCTAGCTGTATTTCTCCTAGGCTAGGGATAAACATTCTGTTGGCCTCCAGATGTGTGAACTTCAATTCCCATCATTTCCTGGCATGGGCATTGGCAAGAGTAACCAGGAACATCTGGAGAAGATATCAGGTTGTCAATGTTCTAATGAATAAGTGTGTATATTCTTATTGTAATTAGACTGCTGTGGGTAGTCTAGTGCCATCTTGAGCATCTCCCATAGTAGACATCATATTTTTATGAATGCTGAAGATGTATAGAAGTAATAATGTACTTATAAGTATGTAAAAATATTACTGATATTATTTTCATGTCTCTAGGAAATGGCAAAAATTCTCAACCATCCAAGAGTTTATGCTTTTCTACATGTACCAGTTCAATCCGCTTCTGATAGTGTTTTGATGGACATGAAGAGGGAATATTGTGTGGCTGATTTCAAACGGGTGGTGGATTTCCTTAAAACTAAGTAAGTCTAATATTTAAAAAGTTAAATAATTTTACAATTGAAATTTAAAAAGATAATTGCTTTTTTGCATCTTCATAATTTGACTATGTCTTACAGTTGCTTTAATGTAATATTCTGTTTCAGATTGCTTTTATTCTGGAATATATGATTTATTTTTTTTTCCACTGAATTGTTTAATGCAAATTTTCAGGGTAGTTGACACAGAATGCAAAAAAAAAAAAAAAAGCACCACTCCAATAACATAGTTGGATATTGTTATTGAACGTATCTTTTTATTTCTACTGTACAGTATGCAATGTGTGACTTTTATGTTTTAATCCAAAAAATTTGCATTAGTAAATTATGACAATCTATAACTATCCTTCAAAATCCTCTTCCATAATGGTATATATTATTTTGTCAACATTTGAAAATATGTTCTATTGGCTCTAGCGTTCATGGAGAATCCCTTATCTAAGAAATACTAGCAGTAGGAAAACTTAGATTAGACAGTAATCAGTTTGAGTATTAAGTATTATGAACAGAATATTTACTGAAAATAATACTGTGTGACCTTGTACAGAATGTCTGACATGCGGTTATTTCCATTGCTTATAAATAGATGCAGATACATGTTATTTGTTCTACTAGCTGAATGTTAATTCCATGTTAACAGAAGTTCAGCATGTTTGGTGACTGCCAACTTGGATGGTTTAGAAAGACTGAAACATTTATGGAAGATAAAATTACTAATCGCTGCTAATGTTGATTAGCTGTATACTATCTCCAGAATCAAAGGCAGCATGTCCACATTTTAAGAGAGAGAAACAGTATCTTCCTTATTATCAAGCTTCTCAGACCAGGATATGGCAGTGCATCACAGATCACTTGATATGTCACAGCTTTGTTTGATTATCCAGCTTAATCTGGGAAAAGGCTCACAGACATAGCTCAGCCCAGTTAGTACAATTAACCCAACTGTTAATTGTACTATTCCAAGAGATTTAACTCAAGGCTTCTCCTCCCATCTTTCTGAATTAACAGATACTTGGATACTGAATTAACAGATACTTGGCGCTTGGTGGCCTTGAAGTTGGATGGTTCTGATATGTTACACAAATCCAATAGAAGAGAATATCTGTAGCTCAGAGTTGAACTGTGGAGTTCTTGGTGCTCTCTGAGCTTGGTTTACTTGCAGGCATTTCATTACCCAAATAGGTATCATCAGTGTGAGTGAGTGTGGGGTTTGCTACCTGTCTATAGTTGCCCTGCCAGTTTTGCCTTGCCAAACCCGTATTTATTTTGAAAATCTAGCAGAAAAAAATATCAGTCTCTGTCATAACATGCACTGAGATACATTGGTTATAAATTTAACATTGCTTTGCTTGCTGGAATTATTGTACCACAACTCCTACATTGTAATAAGTCTTGCCAAAGAGTACTCTCTGAAATTCATGCTATCAGTTCACTTCTGACCAGGCTGGAAGAGCAGTAGGCATGCCAGTGGCAGCTGCAGGCATGCTTAGAGCATTTCAATTGGCCTAGGCTCTATTAAGTCTGCCAGCATGGCAGGGACAAGGGACTGGCATCACATCACATCCCAGCCTAGCTAAAAGGCTCCCAGTGCCCTTGATCCAGCCTCAGAAGGCTGTTGTAGGAGGGAAATGGACCAGCTTGGGATAAAAACTGAGACCAGCCTCTTTGGGATATGTGGGGGGAGGGAGCATCTTAACATCAAGAAGAGAAGACCAGTGGGGAGGGCATGGCTGAGGAGTACTCTAGCAGGAGAGTTCTGCAGAGAATACAAGCAGTGTCTTTGTCTAATGCCAGCAGAGGAGTACGGCTAGTAGAGGCTGCATTAAGAGCACATTCTTATTCTGGTTGCCTGGGTAAGCACAAGGTCCTACCCTCTTTCCCAGCCAAACTTATTGAATTTTGCTGAAAGATGCCGCTGTCAGTTCCCATCCTTGCCTGCCTTTCCTGAAGTGGCCTTTTTCTCACAGTCCGACTAATGATTGCAGAGCGCAAGGATTTCCTGAGTAGCTCTGGACTGCCTATTTTGATGTCCTCTGCCCTTCCAGCTAAGGTGCTACAAATGGTAGGCTGAGCAAGAAACGGTGGACTAGATGACACAGGAGTGGCTGGGGGGAGGTGACAGAGAGATGAAGGTCCTGTGGAACATGTGGATGTGAAGGCAGTAAATTTTGTGAGCATTGATAGCAGGGCCTTACAAAGACACAGCTGGATTGTTGCCAGAATACCAACAGGTAGCTTATCTGAGCACAGCAAGTATAACCCTTTAAGACCTCCTGCATTAGAGCGAATGCTTATCCCAGTATCCTTTGGAGCAGATATTGGTACATGGAGCTAAGTATTACCTAGAAATGTGAGAACATGAAAAGAGTTAGTGAAAGAGGAGTGATACCAGTGTTTGACTTATGATATATTTTTTAAAAAATCTCCTTTACATTGATTGAGAGACTCAGTTTGTCCATTGATGCAATAAGTTAAGGTGAGATGCTGAATACTCTAGTTATTAAAGTCTCAGGACCATTATTTTACTTAGTTGAGAGCTATGCACATTCTAACCGTCATAATAACTTAAATGTTACAAACTTTGAAAGTTATTAACTATTGTTACATCAGATCTTGCTATCAAAAAACTTGGAAAAGCTGAGTATACCCATAGATTGTATATATATAAATACAACCAACTCATAATAGTATATAACGAGTACATCCAAATTTGTCAGTTATACATCAGTGCAACTTAAAATTATTCTGTTGTCTCTGATTTTTAATCTGACAGTTTTCAAGCTTTATTAATATATATTTTATTTAAAAATCATAGTAAAATATAATGAACCCAAGTAGCAAGTGTTTTCTAGAAAGCATGAGAAATTATTTCCAACATACAGAAACAGAACAGGCTCAATCTGTAAGAGTGAAAAATGTTGGATATTGGAATCTACTGACATCTGTAAAGCTCATTTATTTTTATTACTGAATTAGTAGGTCTTTTTTCTATGTGTCATCTCCTAAAAGCAGCCAAGTATGACGTTCCTATATAACTATTCCCCTCTAGACATCTCATCACAGACATTGCGAAAGCAAAACATTGCAACAGATTCCTGCAGTTTCTCCCAGAAATAAACTATCTATGACTCTGTTCTTATAGACCCATCTCTTTTTCTTATTTCTCTTCTAAGCTGCAACGATGGAAACAGGAGAGGAGGTATTGTTTAATAATTCAAAGGGGCACTATCATTCAGAAAAATATCATATGCCGCCAGTTAACTTCTAAATTCTGTGCTTTCAATTCTGTCAAAAGAAATAATTTGCATAAAATATTTGTGAATAAAAATGCTTTTAAGTGATCCTGATGGCTAGGTCAATGATTTAATAGCATTTGTCTGCTACTTTCAAGCTTTTGATCCATAACACTTGGAAATTGATTGAATGTCAAAACTGCAGAAAAATGCAACTTAAGATCACTCTCTTTTCTGAGATGTTCCATTATCTCAAACATGCTGACATGTATAAATGATACCTGGGCCTGAGAGTGTACATGTATTGTGCATCTGCGTGCTTAGATTCTCTGTATATTTTGCCTCAGTGCTTTATGAATGAGGAGGAGGACTGTTTAATATAATACTTTATTTCCAAAAATTTCTCACTAGGGTTCTGTGGAATTAAAAGTTGTTTACAGCTGCTATTAATTTTTATACCTAAAAGCAGGATTGAGGAACCTCCAATCCATGAAGTTGCTCCATACAGACCCTGACACCTCAAAGGAGGCTTTGCACTCTGCCAGCTGATTCTTCCTTCCCTCTGCCCCCTCCTCAGAATAAAGCACAAAGGGGGCAGGCCTGAGTCAAGGGACATCAGTAGTTCTCAGGAGCTGGCACTTGAAGTTAAGAATGCTTTCAACTCCTGGTTCCTTGATGCTTCAAAAGAGTTTTGGCATTGTTAATCCCATCCTATCATCTGGCTCAAAGGAAGAGATCTAAGAAAACAGTGGCCCTCTTGCTGGATACTGTTTCCAATTCCTGCCTTATAGCTAAGATACTTGGTACATCAGGTGGAAACTAGTAATTGCACAGAAGCCATTCTTAATGGCTAATGATTGTAACGTCCCACCCCTAGGTTCGATGGAATGGTAGTCACAAGTATATTGAAACCTCAGCAGTGGTATTTTCTTTTTTGCTGGCCTATTCCCTTGGTTTCCCCTCCTTGCCAGTAGAAAACACGTTCTTGCCACAAGATGGAATGCCTTCCTTTTCAGGCAAGTGGCTGCAGAGCGTTTGGTTCCCCAGCTGAAGGAGAAAGAAGAGGGACCAATAGCAAAATCATGGCTGCAGTATATACTGATATATGAGTCACTGAACATACTTTTGCCACACCTGCATTAAAACAGAGTTCCAAGTACCATAAGCCTCCCTTTAAAAAAAATTGTGTCCCCATCCTGGATTGGTGGACCTTATAACAGTAACTCAGTACTTCTCTTCTGCAGTGCCAACCTGTCTATCGAAAAAGGATGAAAATATTCGTGTTTAGACATTAGGTTTCCTCTTAGATTATGTCACATAACTGATGCTACTCATTTCTATATTTTTTTCAATTATATTTTACATATTTTATATACAGCATTTAAATGTTGGAAGTTACCCTGATTTTTAGATTGATTACAACTATTCTAAATTAATTCATTAATATACAGGGCACTGAAGGCAGAAGCTTAGATCATCATAAATTATCATTTGAGGCTTTTTTGTGCACAAAATCCCTCATGTTTTATAAAATTAAATCTTGGAATATGCAGTCTTTCAAACTCAGTGCATTTGCTTAGAAACATTGCAGTACAGCTCACTTCCTGCTAATGCTCACGATCAGCATGTAAATAGTATTAACAGAAGCAATTTTTGACAAACACCTTCAGATTAATTACAGTCCTTTTGCTGATCCTTCTTCATTTACAGATCACTGCCCCAATAGATCGTAATGCTTTTCAAATGAAGGAT